CTCGTTCGCGGCGAACGGGAATAATGAACGAGGCGCAGATTTTGGCTCTGCAAGACATCTTGAAAACAAAAACTCAGGATATAGAGACCAAGATGCGCACTATAGTAAATTGAGTAGTAAGGGCTTCGAAATTTCTGGAAAAGAACAACAAAAACAACAATTACAGCTGGGATCTCAAAACGGTCATGTAGAAGAATCTGGAAGTGCACAAGGAGGCCTTGGTAATTTACATGGGAGTGGGTCCGAATTGGGAGGACATTTCGAAAACGGTGGTTCTAAATATGGAAGCCAAAATGCTCATCTCGGTCATTTTACTTCGGATTCGGGCTATAGTGCAAATGGTAAAGGCCCCGAAATTTCTGGAAACGAACAACAAAAAAGACAATTACAGCTGGGATCTCAAAACGGTCATGTAGAAGAATCTGGAAGTGCACAAGAAGGCCTTGGTAATGTACATGGGAGTGGGTCCGAATGGGGAGGACATTTCGAAAACGGTGGTTTTAAATATGGAAGCCAAAATGCTCATCTCGGTCATTTTACTTCGGATTCGGGCTATAGTGCAAATGGTAAAGGCCCCGAAATTTCTGGAAACGAACAACAATTACAGGTGGGATCACAAGTTGCAGGAACTGGAAGTGGACAGGAAGGCACAGGCTATGAATATGGTAGTGGATTCAAGCCGGCAGAACATTTCGAAAGTGGTGGTTTTAAGCATGGAAGCCAAAATGCTCATCACGGTGATTTACCTTCGGGATCGGGCTACAATGCACATGGTAATAGTGGAGTTTCTGGAAACAAACAACAACAACAACAAAAACAATTGCAAATAGGATCCCAAAACAGTTACGAATCTGGCTCTGGAAGTGCATATGAAGGATTTGTATCAGGGGCGGGTTCTTCGAGTTCTCAAAATGGTGGTTCTGCTTCCAATGGCTATGGATCTAAACAACAAGAGGAACTACAGAGCGATTTAAGCGGAGCCCTCAAGCTTGCTTCTGAGGGCTTGCAGCAAGCTCAAAAGCAGCAGGGATGTAGCACTTGCGATAAAAGCAGTTATGCTTTCAGTAACGCCAAAAGTCACAGTGGCTCGGCTATTGCACTTTCTGTCGCTGGTTAATTTGTAACAATGACCAAAGAAGACATCTTATTGTTAAATTAATTAAATGAAATAAATTTCTCAAGGAATATTATTTTTTATTAGTTCCTTTTCCTTTGATTTAGAATCTTCAGGTTCTTCCTACTACAATGTTGCATACCATGAAAGTAACCGTTTCGGCCCATGCGAAAAATAGCCTTTGTAAAAATGAATATGCACCAATGTCCACTAGGCCGTTCCGCCACCAACCGAAAAATGATGGGTTGCTCCACAAAAGTAGTTGTTTTTAGTCGGCAAATCCCCTGGTGTCGCAGTTGTTTATGAGGGGCAGTTGTCACTTACCATTAGTTGAGCCGCATGCTCGTTTGCTCCCTCTCTTATAAAAAAAAGGTAGTTCTTCACTACTGCCGTATGGCGATCCTTAGTATCTCTCAGCGAGCTATGAAAAGGGTTATGCTCGGAATTCCTCCGTGTGGTAGAATTCGTAACGATTATATCTGCATTAGAGTCAGAGTAACCCACATAACCCAACGGATTGGTAAGCTGAAGTGGCAACGGGCCAGCCATATAGCTCGAAGAACCGACAACCGTTTTTATACGTGGTAGAGCCATGCAACAGCTATATTATGGTTTGTAGCACAAATGGGTCGGCTCGAGCGGTGGTTAGGCTAAAAGAGTCTCTTCCAGACCTACAGACATTTCCATTAAAGGAGAGTTAATTTTGTCAAAATGTCTATCTTCATCTATTCCCACGATTAGCTAGGGAAATATTCAGTTACCACCGGCAGAGCCCCACAGTGTGAATTAAGAGTAAATGAACCCCCGCCCTAGTTGATTAGTTATACCAGTTACTCGACTTCAAGTTATACGCTTTTACAACAAAGTTCCAGAAAATATGCAGGCCTTATCTATTAAAAAGTTTAAAAGAGAATGGGATTTTTGGGAATGAAGTTAACTAATTGGTTTATACCTTAAAAATTGGCCATATTTTTTCTTAAGTAAAATACAAAAAAGTAGCTCTTTTTACAATCTAGATTTCGAAAAACCTATAAAATAAGAAATAATTTAGAAAGTCAATTGAAGTGTATTATTTACGGCAATACATCGATAATCATAAAGAGTACACTAGTGAAATTCTCGTTTCTGAACATTATCTTCCAATAGAGGACTTTTCATGTTGAAACTTGACTATACATTTCATACTTCAAACTATTTATTTAAAAGAAAAACACAGATTTTCGATTCGATTTGAAAGGAGCGCAATATAATCGATTCTCGATTAAATTGACCATTTTTATATCTATTTTCGATTATTTTTCTATATTAACTAGGGAGATAAAAATGCGTACATATCTACAAAATAATAATAAAAAATACAAAATATCAAAATTCCAACAAGCAACAGTTACAAAAACAATTCAAGTAATCGATTTCAGATCGATATGCCTAATATTCACTTCACTTAGTTGTTGTTGTTTTAACTTTCGTTAATCGTTTCACCATTTCGTTTCATTATTAACCACAGCTTTTTTGGTCATTTTATACTGATCCTGCTTTTATATCGTTAAGTAATTATAGTTAAAATAGCCTGTTTCAGTGTAATGCATACATACATATAATCACGCCTCTTTCCCGTAGGGGTAGGCAGAGACCACTTCTTTCCACTTGATTACACGATCCTTACATACTTGTTTCGCTTCGTCCACTTTCATTATTCCCTTCATTCATGCTCTTCCGTTTAGTGTACTTTTGACCTGGCCTTTTAATACCAGTTTTAATACTAGTGAATAATCACCTGTTACATACAGTGTAGGTAATAGATAATCTCACCTTTACTTATTCTACAATAACTCAGCTCAGATTGACAAATCCCGCCAGATTTTCAGCTATGAATTGTTTATATATACGCTTTGAAATGATCCTACTTTCATCTTGTTAACACTTGGGCCCAAAAATGTATGGAGACGTCTCCTTTTCCCTTTTTAGTGTAAGTAGTATTAGTAATGGGTTATTACACTAGTAAAAAGTACATGATTAATAAGAACCACTGGGAATGAGGTGATCACTACCATGCTGTTTCTAAATGTTGTCATACTAATTGTATAAAATAATATATTGTAAATTATATCAATATAATATATTGTAATTTATATCAATCTTTATAACGACAGTTTGACCTGTGTGCGAAAATAAGATTAATAAACTGATAAATTGCTAGTATATCCAATGGTATACGCATTTTCCGCAAATTTGCCAAATGTGGAATAATAAATGTTTTGCGTAGGCGTACAATGTCATATTAATAAGCATGTTTGAAACAGTTAGCCTTATTATAGTCTTTATTTTTATGTACAAAAATTACGGGTCACGTTGTTTGTCCGCGATGAACTCCTAAACTATTGAACTGATTTCAATGAAATTTTGCACACTGTGTGCAGTTTGGTCCAACTTGAGAGATAGGATAGTTTTTATCCCGATAAGTGACCTTCACTATTTTTTATTGCGAATTTAAGGATTTTTTTTATATGAAGGGTCGTCGGAAAGGGCAGAACAACGTCTGCCTGGCCAGCTAGTATAGTATATTTTAAAGCATTATCAATTATCGTAGTACCAGACATGTCGCGTCTTTGATGCGGCCGGTCTGTATACTTTACGTTTGACGTAAACGAAATGATATACTGCTATCTGTCGGAAGTCACTAGATATTTCTAGAATTTTCCATAGTCGCCTCATACGACACCCAGTGGATGAAATAAGTGATAGATTCTCTTAGGCCACTACAACTCCGCAGCGTCGAACGTATGAATTAGTAAAAGATGAGAGTGGCGGTGTAAGAATATGATCTACCCCATATCGTCCCGTGGGTGTCGTAAGAGGCAACAGAAGGAAACAAATCAGGAGATGGGTAGCAGCGTCTTCCTAATAACGATTAAAAATAAACTACGGCTGCCAACTCGCTTGTCAAGCGTGGCAACTATCGCAAATATGACTTGACGGCTCCATGGTGCAGTGGCTTAACAATGAGTTGTTGCGCCGGGGGCCGCGGGTTCGAATCCCGCACGGAATTGTATGGCCTGCAAATAATTGTTCCGGGTTTGGATGTTTGTTCTCATGCAATTTATGTTTGTAAACTGCCTCCACGATACAGGACAAAAAACCTAGTAGTGTAACGTTTCTTTTAAAGAAAAAAAATATCCCTCCAATGAGGCAATATATGGGGTGGGCCTATGTTCAGCAGTGGACTTTAATAGGCTGTAACGGTAACGGTAAGTTATTAGAACACAAATGCAGTGACTTAACGCACAGAATTAATTTTTACAATAATGGGTAAGCCACAGACTTCGATGGTTGACGACTTAAAATGTGGAAAGATTTTAAATAAACGTGTAACCAATAACAATACAGAGCCGTGGTAGCTCAGATGGTTAGCGCTCGCTGTAAATTTCACAGTACGCGAGCAACCCAGGTTCGATCCCCTCCGGCACCAATGAAATTGTTAATTGCAATTTTAAGTGCTGATTTACCACGTGGGGTAGCGCGGCGTACATTTCCTTGCCGTAAAACCCTCTCAGAAATGAAAGTAGGGCTGTACCCATCAGTGGGACGTATATAGGCATAACTTTAACTTTTAACTTTAACAATAATAATACAAATTTTTAGCACGTGGTTTCAAATCAACATTGCGTAATCGAGCGCAACATGGAAACTGTTCACAGGGAATAACTTAGTATATTACCAGTGACTGACTTCGCACCTTACTCGTCAGTGAGCATTACTAATTATTACCTACCGTTGGTTCAAGAACTGATTCTCAGTATTTTCGTTATGTTGTGTGTTTTGTGTTTAAACACGACGGGTATAAAATTGTAATATACTGCAATAGTAGTCATTATGATACACTAAAATGTGGCAGAAGGGAGCTGTTTTATTTATAGTTTTCATTTACGTCGCAAATTCTGCTGGTTATGTTCCAAGTAAGTATATGTTATGAATTGAAAAAAATAGTTGTCGTCCTATCACTTCTATATTCTAAGCTGTGTACATATAATTCGATTCAAGTTTTACGTTTCATGCATGCTTACAACATACAGTGTTTTTATAAGTGATCACTGTTTGATTTAGTACATACGTGGTATAGCCACTGCGGCACGATTGGGTCTGATCGACCGGGGAAGATCAAGCCGACTCTATCGCTCGCATAGAATACCAGCGTGAAAGAGCAGTATAAAGTTGTTGTTTTGCAGAGTGGGTGACGAGATCTGGCAATCCTTTTTACTGATAATAAGGCATTCCATCTTAGCCAATCAAGTGTGACAACGCATCAGCATATTTATTCTTTTTCGATGATAAATGTAGGAGTCTATGGGTCTATGGTATGGTTTATTATCACCCTTGTTTCTTTTTAATGGGTAATTAAACAGAGTCCAATATTTTTATAACAAAAGACAAAACAAGAGTCGATGGTCGTGTATTACATAAGTGTTCGATTTACGAAAAGAAACATTAGATTAGATTTGACTACTTTAGCAAGACTTCTCGTTTTGGCGGGCTTTTCCGGCGCGTCGGCGGCGGGCTGTTGCTTCTGTTTCAACCGACTTCAAAAAGGAATATTTTCTCAATTCGACTGTATTTTTTACGTGTGTTCCCTTGAACTTTTTTCTATGTGTAACAGATTTTGATGATTCTTTTTTATTTGAAACCTGGTGTTCTTCTCGTGGTCCTACATAAACTTGATCAAGATCAGACCAGTAGTTTTTGAGTTATCCTTAATAATGCGTATTTAATTGACTTCTACTACATTGATGATGTTCTCGTTTTATTTATATTGAAGTCAGTTGTAAAAAATATTTAATTTTACCACTTTAAGAGATGCGATTTTGTGTATTAAGTGTCTGCGCATGTGAAATATTTTGTTTTCAACTTTCTGCTGGGTTACGTTGTCATCAAAATTTCCCAAAAACTTCGTAAAATCTTTTTCACAATATGCTGATGACGCACAAAAATTAAAAAAAAAAAAGAATATTTCTTATTACTTAAAACTGGCAAAAATAAAACCGTACTGGTCCATAACCAAAGAAATAGACACAACATGAAACTAAAACCTAATTTAAATACATTTTTATACCTATACAAATTGTATGTGGTTTTATTGCGTCTAACTGATACGCGCATCGGTGAAGCAGGGTCTTTGACAATACTCTCCTCGGTCAATGCAGAGGCAGTAATGTAACAAACCCACATACAATTTGCAAAAAAAAGATGTAATATTTTTTTGATCGAGTTTTCTCAAGTAAAGTTATTTCTATATGTTTGCAAACTGATTCTGATAACGCACTGAACGGGATCCACAGGGTTTTTGTTACATGTTGTTAGGTGGAATACGTTATCATGTATATAATACAATTTATTCCTTGCAGATGGTCTTCTGCAGAGGTTAAAACGTTCCCCACATAATTGCGACTATCCTCTCCCTCCATCACCAACTTCACCACCGCCACAGCCAACATTCTGGCGACCATATTGGATTCCACCACCGCCACATAAAAAAATATACTGGGAACATTTTATTCAACAACCAGCGCACAACGAAAGGAACTCTGAAGGTCAGACAGCATTAGATTCTCACTCTGCGGACTTTTCCACGCATAAGCAAAACCAGTACGGCGGTTGGGGTAACGACGGACAAGATGGTTTACCACCTTGCGAGAAATGCCCACGTTGGAACACCGCTGTAAGCAATGCTAACAGTGACACAGGATCGGCGGTCGCTATTGCTATTTCCAAAGGCAATAATGAAACGTAACGAAAATATGCATGGTTTTCGTATGCTTTAGTTAAATAGCGAGTTATTCTGATTAAACTGGTTTTTTTACTTATAAAAATGACAAATGCATTTTATTTATTAAGCGTTTTTAAAAAAAAGTGGTTATAAGTATATGTTTACTTATTTCTCAGAAACAGCTGAACTGATTTAAATTATTTTTTTTTATTATATAAACAGGTTTTTTATTTTTTGGGGGACGAAATTTTTTCCTTAAATTTATAAGCTTTCATAGAAAAAGTTTCATCACTAAGGGTGGAAAAATAGGGAACGAAAATTTTAAAATTCTACGTTCTAGTTATCTTGAACTTATGATATTCCTTATTCAAAAGTATAAAATAAATAAACTTTAAATAAAAAGCAGTAGAAAACAGTTTAAAGTAAAAAAAAATAAAAAAAATATTTTCCACATAATAGCTTCTGAAGTCGGATCTCAGCAGCGACTTTAGAAGTTTTTATATGGAAATATTTATTTTTAATTATAAGACACAATTTGCCGTGTAGGCGTATTGACAACTGAAACAGAACAGAAACAGAAACAAAAACTTTTTTATTCAATATAGATCATAAATAATAATTTTGTTAAATTACCTCTGCTTCGAAAAAAAAAAACCTCTGTCCTGGAAAGAACCAGCAGGAAACCCGTCGCGACTTTTGTTTTAATAACAGCTTACAATCATGTAACCACAATTAACCACAAAAAACAAATTAGAAATAGCTTGGTAGCAATCACCACATTTCCAGGTGTTATTAATATCCATAAATTTCTTAATATTATAATAACACTTCTTCTGACTATGGCAACTTCTACAAAAATTTCTAAAGCTCTTGTATATACATATCTCTTGTATATACATATGTCATTATACCATCTCATTCACGCTAGACATAAAATACACAGACCGGGGACGGGCATCAGCGTCACGAGCATGAGACGTCTGGAACCACATTCGTCAATTCGCCTGCCAAGCGAGACAAATAAGTTAGATCCTCCCTACAAAGTAAGAGGCCACGCCCATTCTTGATATCGCACTTGATGACGCCATTTCTTGATATGGCATGTGTACGCTACGATTTCAAAACTGAAACAGGCTTCCCGTTTCGGTTTTGCAGGGAACCAGTTTCGGTTTACAGCTGGCTATTTTAACCACGCTTGTGATAAGCAACCGTACTTTTAATAAAAACTGCGGTTAATTACCCGTCTGCTAAGCGATTCACATATAGCAGATAATTACCCCCCTATTAGGCAATCTATGGAGGAGGCCTATGTTCAGCAGTGGACTTTTGATACATTCACGTGATGGTTAGTGGTTACTGCAGCTCATGAACACCTGCAAACGACTTCAAAAAAAGAAGGCACAGATGCGTTGTCACCACAGAAGACTAAGATGGAATATCCCTTAGCATGTAATTATACTGGCTGTCTATACCTTTTAGACCGGAACACGGTAGTGCACACAATACTTAGCAGCAGAAATATTCTGTGAGAGGTTGGTCTCTTCCGAAACGAGCCGATTAACTCGTGCTGCAGGCATAAAGCAGCTTCAGCACTGATCTAACAGGCACAAAAATGTTATTAAAATAATGGATATTAGCTTTTAGGCAAGGAAGGCTACAGGTGCGCTGTCACCGGCGAGGATAACGGTAGAATGCCTCTTAGTCCGTAATTATACTGGCTCCTATACCTTTCAGACCGCAACACGTGGTAGAGCCATGCTGCGGCTATATTAGTAGTATAGTTGTAGCACGAATGGGTCGGCTCGACCGGGGAAGGACCACGCTCTCACAGAATGCCAGCGTAAAATGGCAGCTTGACACTGCTGTGTTTCGTACGGCGAGTGTAGAGAACCGGAGACTCATTTTACTGGAAAAGAGACCTTCCATCTTAGTCCACACGGGTGACGAAGCATCTGCATTTTGATTCTTTATTGAGGATAAATGTAGATGTCTACATAGACACAGCAACCACTTACCATCAGGTGGACTGTGTGCTCGTTTGTCACACTATACTATAAAAAAGAACACAGCAGAGCAAGCACTGCTGTATGATGGCAGATATATTTTGTACGAGGGTGTTCTTATCCAAGTCGAGTTGCCTCATTTATGCTGCTTAATACATCTACAGCGCGGCTCTGTCACGTACATAACTGTACATATAAACAAAAAACATGCGTGAGTGTCTGTGAACACGGTGAACTTCGTTGCCCATGTGTAAAAATGTATACAGAAAGTCTTCACGATTCAGGACAAATTTCTAACTTAGTTATTTCACAAAAAAAGAGATATGTGAATAATATGCAAATATTTATCGTTATTAAATTAAGAATACAGTCACACAGTTCCAGTCATAAAAATTAAGTTAATGGTCACGATAAAAATAAAAATTAATATTCATCTTTACATACAAGTTTTAAAATATCAGTGTTCATAATTTATTTACTTTTAATTTAAATCTAAAGTGCCGTTATAGTTACAGAGATCTCTAACACTAGACACCCGATTTACTTGAAATTTTGTATAGATTTACTCATTTGCAATGTAGACGCTTACTAAGAACGGATTTCACGATAGTCCAATAAAAAAGAAATTCTTGATATTTTACAGCCCAGCGAAGCGAGCGGGTATCAGCTAGTATAATATATTGGAATGGAACATTGAGAATCAATAACAAGATTTTTGAATTTAGGAATATTTATTTTCTCTGAGAAAATAACAATATTCTGTAACTTATGATTTTTTTTATAGAATTTGAGTAACAAACAGGCACTCAACCCACCTTTATCCTCGATTAAAAATCAAAATGCAGATGCGTTGTCACTCTTGAGGACTACGATGGAATGCCTCGTTTCCAGTAAAAAGAGTCTCCGGTTCTCTACACTCACCATACGAAACACAGCAGCATTGAGCTGCTATTCTATTCTATCTATTCTATTCTATTACGATGGTATTCTGTGAGAACGTGGTCTTGCCCCGGTTGAGCCGACCCATTCGTGCTACGATTATAAAACTAATATAGCTGCAGCATGGCTCTACCGCCTATACTGTAAAAATAATTTATTTATAGTACAGTGAAGCCTTACGTTTGGTCATGTAAGCTTAAAATAGAAAGGAGCATATTGATTACAACATAATGAGAAGAAGATAGAACAATGATTCTTAAGTTGCATTTTTGATATTAACTCCGAAAAGTCTATTGTTAAATTTCTTTTCATTTATTCATTATAGCCTTCCAGAAGTCCACAGCTAAACACAGGCGTCCCCTAGATTGTCTCATAGTCATTGTCTCATATTTGCCATTGTTGCTACATTTGGAAGGCGGGTTGACAGCTGCAGCTCCTTATAACTTTGATTAGTTATCAGGAAGATGCTGCTGCCCATCTCTTGCTGTTCCATTTACCAACTTTAATTTGCTTCTAATAATAGTTGACCCCGTGACGTACAAATGATAAAATACTTTAATATGGTATTATTTAATTAATACCATATTAAATTTGCAAAAATATTAAAAATTTTTTTTGCAAACTTTAATATGATATTAATTCGTAATTAACGAATTTGCAGTCCCACCTAGTCCATGTAGCACACTGCTTCGGTCATTGCCTCGTTGATCTCTTGGTCGCTGTCGTTGCAGATCATGATAATTCGAATCCCGGGTCGGGCCAAAATCAGTTATTGGGTCTTTCTGTCAATAAATCGTCAGTAGCAGCCTGAAGTCAGGAAGTTGGCGGCGTTTCACCCCCGTGCCTCGAAAATCACGTAAAGCCGTAACTCTCCGGTCGTGTCGGACTGCTGTCCCATCAGACTATCAAAGTGAAAGAATAGGGAGTGCAGCTGTTCTTGCGCATACATTCGGGCACTATAATCTTGTCCTACGTAGATGGCTTGTCTCCGTTAAGACTGGCCGCCATCACCGAAATTCGGTCTGGAGGACATCAAATAATATTAAAAATAAACACATTAGAAAAGCTCGTTTGATTCTACCGTTTCATTACTGTTTCAACAATATTTTAATTACTGTCTTCAGATGAAGAATAGTCCTTGTAGATCGTGACTGTTCAACTCAAATTAAAGCCTCCTTTGTACTACTAAAATGCCTACTAATCCCATACGATAAGGACCAAGATATCCGTAGTCTCTATTACTTTTAAACTGTAACACAATACTTGGAAATCTTTAATTTAACGTTTAACTTTTGTTTTTAAAACGGAAATATGTAGCTGCTGTCATTTAGTTCAGCAGCTGTTAGCTGAAATAGGGACCTAATTTGATTTTACACAAATCCTAATTTTTATATCTCGTGTTATTTTATTTATCTTTTCTTTGTGATGTCAAATAAAGTTTTCTTTCTTTCTTTTTTCTTTCTTAGAAAGTAGAGGATTTGACATAACTTTGAGATCTAACATTATAGCTTTTATATTCCCTCTTGTTAAGTATTAATCTAAATGATCTCTTTGTTAAAGAGGTCGGTGTACCTGGCTGTTTTGTGATGGATGAGGATGAGTGTGAATTTCTTAGAAATGACTGTAGACGAGTATATGGTTTAAAATTGATCTTGCACTTTGAACTCTTTTGTTTGATTGAACTCCATATTTCTTAGATACAAACTGTGAGTAAAACTGTTCGAATCAAAAGCTATTGATTAAAATAGTTTTCGAAATTAACCAATACGGGATTTTATGTAAGAAAAATGAGAAGGAATAAGAGATTTAGCTATATATAAATTATATGCAAACAAAAATTTTTACAGATTTTTTTTTTAAATTTATAATTATTTTATATTCAACATAGTAGATTAAATATATAAAAACTTTACTAAATTAAAGCGCACACTTGAAAAGGTGACAAAAACTGTTTAATTTTTCACGAAAATCTAATTTTGAGATGGACTGACTGTTAAGATCAATCTCTACGACCGACCGGATATTCCTTGACAATAACCTTCAAATTTATGTACGCAAGCTGGCAAAAACTCAATGTGTCTT